TGATACCAGGGAATAGTACGATGGAATAATTCCTGGACTTCCTGCACCAGTATGATACAAGTTCTCAGCCTTGACTGATATATGGTGCATATATAATTTTAAAAATACCTGGTGACATGCCCATTTGAATCGTGCTTCAACGAAGGTTGAACAACCCTTTTTCAGAAAATTGTTGAATACCAGTTTTTCATCACCATTTAATCCAATTTATACGTGTAAATAAAACATGGCAATGGAACATATTCTATTTATAGATGATTTTCCCATTCAAACCTCCATTTATAGACATTGTCCATTGCCACCTTTTATTACCAGAGGGTGGGCGCCATGGTCAAAACATGGTGCCGGGCATCTGAAAGGCTCGCAACTGTCGTCACTGTTCAAACATTTTATATGGCGGAATTGAAAAGGCTCAAAAGCAAAACTTTAGTTTCATAAGCAATATCAACATCATCATCATCATCATCATAATCATCATCATCATCATCATCACAATCATCATCATCAACGTCATCAACATCACCATCAACATCATCATCATCAACATCATCATCAACATCATCAAAATCATCATCATCATCATCATCATCATCAACATATTCATCATCACCAACATATTCATCATCATCAACATCATCAGCATCATCATCAACAACATCATCATCATCATCAGCATCATTTCAGAGAACCTACAGCAGTGTAGCATGACGTATGTGTGGAAATGCAAGAGAAGCTACAGCAGCGTAGCATGACGTATGTGTGGATATGAATGAAGTGCAAGAGAACGTACAGTAATGTTGCATCACTTATGTGTGGACGTGCCAATGACGTTATTATCCCACCCCACCCCACCCCACCCCACCCCACCCCCCCCCCCCCCACCCCCCCACCCAATGTTATGCTGATAGTATGATGCAAAAAAAGACAAAAGTCGCGCGCCTCTCAATGCCCGCACCCAAGAACATGGTTCTGGTTTATGGTCGTCTCATCATGTTTCTAGGTGTGCGCCCAGCCCGAAATATGGGTAGACAATCAATCTTTTGATTATAAAATATTATATAGTTGACAATATATTCTGATATTCCTATTATATCGAATGAAATCATTTTTATTTGGTCAAATCAAACTTTAGACAATTGCAAATATGGGTTCTATGAGCTTCATCAAGCAAAAAATGTGACCACAGACCACAGCTGCTACCTTTACATGTGAGACACCCAGATGGAAGTCCTGGTTTTTTTTGGCTTTCTCTGGTACCAAATTTGAGATGCAAAGCCTACATCCAAAAACATCAAAAAATAGAATCTATATATAGTCAACTATATAAAGTCAACTATAATCCAGAATCATTTATGCATTCAGGATTCTACATGATTCCCTTGTACTTTGTCCTGCTTGGGTGGGCCAGCATTTTGGGTGTTTTCCGAGCATTCCGAGCCGGGTCAGGCTCTCGGACTGATACAGGTGCAGTCGAAGAGTGTGTATCCGCAGGAGGGTCCCGGCTTGCAATCGTGTTTCTGCCACGTGCGCTGCGTTGAGATGGATCAATCAGAGGTTAGTGAAACTTTTTTGGTGGATCCGAATCCTCTACCTCATCTTTTGGAGGGTGTCAACATGGCTTTACACATGCATACGAAAAACGGCCAGTCACCATCGAACAATTGGGGATCACTCACCAAATCATCCAAATTAACCGATTTTAGTATTGAAACCCACATTGTTTTGGGGATCCGGAATTTTCAGAAACCACCATTTCTTGCTAATCATACCAGTAGTACCGCACAAGGCGGTGGCAGAAGTTTCAAAAATAGGAAACCTATAGGAGAGGTTGGTTGTTGTGAATCAGGGATGGCAGAGCGAATCCACTGATGGACCGAAAGGTGCTTGATCTCTCTCACTCTTTCTCTCTCTTTCTCTGCCTATCTACCTACCTACCTATCTATTTTCTATGTATCTATCCAGCTGTCGATCTATCTATCTATCTCTCTTTCTCTCTCTTTCATCTGTCTATCTGTCTATCTGTCTACCTGTCTATCTATGGTGCAGTGTCATCCAGTCTAATGCAATGTAGTGTACTGTAGTGTAGTGGAGTGTAGTGGAATGTAATGTAGTGCAGTGTAATGTAGTGTAGTGTAGTGTAGTGTAATTTAGCGTAGTGTAAATTAGTGTAGTGGAGTTTAGTGGAGTGTAGTTGTAGTTGAGTGTAGTGCAGTGTAATGTAGTGAAGTGTAGTGGAAGGTAGTGTAGTGTACTAGTGTAGTGTAAAGTAGTGTAGTGGAGTGTAGTGTAGTGTCATGCACTGTAGTGTAATTTAGTGCAGTGGAGTGTGGTGGAATGTAGTTGGGTAGTTGTAGTGTAGTGTAGTGTAGTGGGATGTAGTGTAGTGGAGTGTAGTGGAGTGTAGTGGAGTGTAGTTGTGTAGGTGTAGTTGTAGTGTTGTGGAGTGTCGTGTAGTGTAATGTAGTGAAGTGTAGTGGGAGTAGTGTAGTGTAATGTAGTGTAGTGTAGTGGAGTGTAGTGTAATGTAATGTAATGTAGTGTAATTGAGTGTAATTGAGTGCAGTGTAGTGTAGTGTAGTGGAGTGTAGTTGTGCAGTTGCAGTTGTAATTGTAGTGTAGTGTATTGTTGTTGTTGTCTACTTGTTCGACATCTTCACGTCAAAAAAGGCTCAAAACCCTCAGTTTTTTACACTTTTGACTTCGAAATGTGCTTCGCGCCACAACGGCGTGCACTTTTTCGACACTTTCTCGACATCTGAACCTCCAAAAGTGGTCCGAGACCGCCAGTTTTTAACACTTTTGACTTGGAAATGTGCTTCGCGCCACAACGGCGTGCACTTTTTCGACATCGCAACTTCCAAAAGTGGTCCGGAGCTGAGGTGTTTTGTACATTTTGACTTGGAAATGTGCTTCGCGCCACAACGGCGTGCACTTTTTCGACATCTCAACTTCCAAAAGTGGTCCGACAATGGTGTGTTTTGTACATTTTGACTTGGAAATGTGCTTCGCGCCACACCAGCGTGCACTTTTTTGACATCTCAACTTCCAAAAGTGGTCCGAGACCGCCAGTTTTTAACACTTTTGACTTCGAAATGTGCTTCGCGCCACAGCGGCGTGCAATTTTTCATCGCTCCTGTGGCCAACTGGCTCCGCACCCGCCGCTTTAGCGAGCCTACTTTTCGACCCTCCGGAGCCACAAATCATTGGAAAAACACAGTGTTTCGCGACTTTCCTACCTTTTCACGCATCTGTATCTTCTGTCTTCTTACTCTTTCTCTTCTGATCTTCTCTCTTCTAATCTTCCTCTTCTCTCTGCCTCTGCCCTGCTCTGCTTTTCATCTCTCCATATTGTCGGAAGTTTGACTTCTAAACTTCCTTCGATCATATCTCTAGATCTTGTTATATGACGTCATATGTAACTATAACACTACTGACTAATAGAGGTTGCACAGGATCGTTCCCATCGCACAAGACCTATCCATGCATATCCCATCAATACAGTGACAAATACCCTCTGGTAATCGGAGTTGGCAATGATGAAACACATTTTGATGAGTTTTGCTAGATGCATTTCCCATCAAACACGTGGCTTTCCTGTGCTATGTTGGATTTCCCTTTGGTACTCTTCATGACTCACCAACTATTGTCGCTGGAGCTGGATTTTCCACCCCAACAAAACTTGGACATGTCATACGTCATTAATACATCATCTAGGCAGTCTATATCCCAGTACAATCATCCTTTGTTCTACCAGTTGTCATCATCACGTGTGTCAGTTCCATCACAGAATTTTCGTTTGCTTGGTTGGTTGTGAGTCATTGGTTGAGGTAGATTCACAGACATCTAGGCAAATCAAGCACGTCACACTGCCATGAATTACGTGTGTCAAAACATGGGATCTACTCCTCAAATGATCATTTTGTATTATGTTAGTGGTGGTAAAATCATGATCAACCACTGGTTTTGGCGACGTTTGCCCCAGAATGTTCAGACAAAACCAATTGATCCAAGTCTTTATTTAGTTTCTACTAATCATAACAGAAATCCCCAAAAAACCGCCAAACTTTACCATAGATCCAGTATGATCCAGTTCCACTCCGGGTCCCAACGACTCTCTCGCGCTCGGCCTTGGCCACGTGACCAAATTGACAACTGCCGTCCACCTGGGATCCGAAACCGACCAGGTGACCACCTACCCACAACTTAAAGGAAAAACACAACATAAAATGCCTGTCATAAGACAGTTAGAACATCTGTTGGAACCAAATTACACAAAATTACAAGACCCAAAGCCATTGATCAATATACAATAAACATCAATAAAAGCATCAATCAACTAGATATATAAATAGTCTTCCAACTACCTGCAACTGGGGTAAACCCCAAGATTTTCGAAGACCCAAGGCAGGGTTTACTCAGAGCTCATGGAATGGAAATGTAATGACTGTATTGACATAATGGGAGACATACAGTGGCTACTTTAATATTGGAATTGCCAAGAATGGTCTGGATTGCAACTGAAAACTCTGTTCATCGAGTCGCTTTGGAAACAGTGTGAATTGCCGTGGTAGTAGGCAGTGAATACGCATGCACGGTGTTCAAAAGCATCATAGGTAGAGACGGTGTTCAAAAGCATCATAGGTAGAGACGAAGAGGCATCTCCCGTTTTCATCACTGGTTGAACCGTCTATTTTCTTTCTATTTCCGAAGGATCCACTACAAGTATGCTAAACAACACCCATCCACCTGAAACCACTATACTACCTGTCATTTTAACCCATATTGTGCCGCTTCAAAACATTATCAAATCACAGCAATCTTCTGATTCTGCTACTGTTTGGAGGTCATGGCTAAAAAAAACGAGGTTGGTGGTTTTCAACCCAAGACTCCTTTCATTTGCATGTTATCCAACATCTCTGATTGAAAAGGAAAACTATGAAGCAATGTTTGTTTTTTTCTCTTTATATATTCAGTTGAGACCATGATCCCACTACTTTGAGGAGCATCCGACTTCGCAATTGAAAGTAATTTAGCAACATCTAAAGAATAGCATCGTTTTCTCTAGCGCAACCGCATTTCAGAGGGACTTATGATCACCACCGGTGGGGTTTAGCAATCAGGGGTTATTGACCATTATTCACTTCATCAGGGTTATTGTATCACTTTATGGCTTTATGGTTTCCTGATCCCCATTGAAACTTCAGATTTGGTTGGGGGTCTAATGTGGATTATCAAATCCCGATGTTTTCTTCTAATTAAAGTCTCTAAGTGTAAGGCTAAAACAAATTACAATATGATACAATCATAAACAATAAACCATATAATATGATATAGATATAGATAGACATTATGTATATATAATATACATATACACACATATATATATATGTATACACACTATAATATATCATAATCCATCCCATTAACACCACATATATCTACATGTTAACCAGTCACAGTCGCCCCTCATAGAGCTCGGTTTCGCGGCGCCTCTGTAAAGCTTTGAGCGCCCTCCAAGATAGGTCTCGTTTGATCCCCACCTGGGTTGGTCTACGTTTCGAAGGATCATTGTGGATCCGTGGTGGCGGGATGGACATTGCAAACAAAAACAAACTCAAATGGAATCCTTTGGGGATTTGGGGAATCATATCTAAGCTAAATTTGGGATGATTTTGGGATTTGAGTTGGTTTAAGCAACAGAAATAGCGATTAAAGCAACAGAACCTTTCAGTTCAACCTAGAGAAGACATTTCTTAAAAGGATCATGTTGGGATGTCATGTTGGGACAACTTTGGAAGCACTTCGAGGATTTGGGGGATCATATTGGGACAATTATTGGGATGACATGAAACAAGGATATAGAAATCATCGGATATATGAGTATGGGAATATCGATGCTATATATGATTTTTTGTATATGCTTGCACGCTCCATTCATAGGGGGTATGTATATATATATATATCTATACGTATATATAATTATTGTTATATACAAGTAAATATAGGTAAGCTTTCAGATGGATTTATTGTGTTTGCCACACTCCACCTCATGTCAGCCATGAGCCATTATCTGGGTATGATTCGCAAAAGGGTGGTTTACCAGCCACTATAATGATTGGGAAAACTATGGGATTTGTTGGGGATATGACATACAAATTTGAGAATAGTAGGGCTCCAACTTGTTGATCCACAGCTTGAGATGGTCAACATTTCCAAACAGTCAGTTTTTGAGCCAGTTGGACCAGCACAAATCGATTTACCCCCTAAATGATGCAGCAAAAAAATCGGTACATTACCATTTTCCAACTTTGCTGCTGGGAGAGGCTGCTGAATAGCTTGAACTATGCGTGCAGCTGAGGTGACGTAAATTAAGTGGAACTGCACCCCAGATCATGCCAAAGACTGTCTGCACATGTTGCTTGGAACATAATGAAGTTCTTGAAACATGGCTTGCTGGACAATGCCCCATTCATATGAACATCCATTTGATTTGATGATATTCCGTTGGCACATGACTCAGTGTTGGGGGATTTTCCAGCTATGAATCCATTACATGTTTCCCGTCCTATCCCATTACGTCCAATTATATCCAAATGAAATCCCCGAAAAAAACAATGGTGGATCTCAGATCGGAACCGACCGCCAGATGAAATGTTGTCATTTGGATATGGGATTTCGGTTGGGTATCATGGGATCTAACATCTCACTCAGATCCATTTACAAACAAAAGAAAGTCAGAGCTCAGATCACCCCGAATCTTTTCGACAACGCCAGGATCACTCGATCGGGGTTGCTCTTCGACGACCCCGGCAGCGACAATGTGCCCTGTGATACATAGTACAATAGTAAGCTGACAATGGCAAGCCACGCTTTTGCAAAAGATAATGGAATAAATAATAATGTAAAGGAACTATGTATAAATATGTACACACTCATATATATAGATATAATATTATATATATATCACATATATTTAATAATAAATGGTAAAATATACATATATATATATATATGGGAAGATCATCTGAATGATGTTTGTTCTTCCGTTTGCCATGCAGGCTTGCCAGAAAATTATCTAATTATTCGATCTATCCAAAACTGGGACGGTCCAAACATAGGGAATCACTTTGCTCTTACTTAAGTTCCATGACATCCGCAACTGTGGCCAATGAATTTGCACGGTACGTTGAGGCCAACAAATGCCCGTCGGGCAGAACAACTGGAAGGCTCTGAATTTCTGTCTTCAACTCCTGCGCAATGCGTCTGTGGATATCCGATGCCAAATCAGACCTATGTGCGCTCAAACGCAACACTTCCTCTCCAGCCAAACTGGACAATTTCAGCATTGAAAGATCCTCATCCAAACATTGCAATTGCAAAATCCGATCGCCACCCTTGGTGACAGGCTCGATATTGTTGCTGCCAACATAACGAAGCCTGGAGATTGAAGATGGTGCAGCAAAGAAGCCACGAAACCACTCAAGCCAAGATGCTGTCTTGGGCGGGGATGGAATGTTGTGTTGCACGTTGCTTCCGCAAGCCACAGCAGAACCATCACTTCTAATAAGCACCGTACCAGCAAGCCCTGCAGAAACTTGAATGTATGATACTGTTTCCTCCAGAACTGGGATGTCACATTGTCCATAGCCATTACTTCCGCAAGTCACGGCACGTCCGTCATCTCTGAGCAGGACTGTGTGTTCCCCGCCCGCAGAGACCTGCGTGTATGACCTCCCCTCCTCCAGAGGTGGGATATCACATTGTCCTGCAAAATTCTGTCCGCACGCCACGGCAGTGCCATCACTTCGCAGAAGCACTGCATGACAATGGCCTGCAGAGACCTGCGTGTACACAAGTCCCTCGTCCAAGGGTGGGATGTTGGACCGTGTATCCCGATTCCATCCATAATGGCAAGTCACGGCAGTACCATCACTTCGGAGAAGCATTGTGCAATTTCTGCCTGCAGAAACCTGGGTGTATGAAATTCCCTCCTCCGGTGAATGTCTCCCAGAATTCTCCCCATAAGCCACAGCAGTGCCGTCACTTTGAAGAAGCACAGTATGTTCATCCCCGGCAGAAACCTGGGTGTATGAGAGTCCTTTTGGCGCTGAAGGGATGCTGCAGCGTCCATCAAAATCCAGTCCGCAGGCAACCGCCCGACCATCACTTCTGAGAAGGACAGTATGGGATGTCCCGGCACAAATCTGGGTGTATGACTGTCCTTGCATTTGCGTTTTTGGGCACCATAAAAAAATAGAACATCAAACATTCCCTGTAGCTTCCCCATTTTGGTGGATTGGGAACATCAAATCTACAGCCATCACCATCTCCTTGGATCCAAGTTTCCAGCTTTCAAAGGTGGAATGTTGCATTGTCCGCATGAATTGTTTCCCAGAGCTATTGCACGACCATCGCTTCGGAGAAGAACAGTGTGCTGACCGCCCGCAAAGACCATGAGAAATAAAGTGGTTCTGGGTCAAAACCCTGGTACACAGATGGTACCCGAAAATCGTTGGTTAATGGATATTTAATCCTTGTGAGCCACGGAGGGTCGGAGGAAGCCATCAAATAAAAACAAATCCACCATGGTTCAGAAGAGCCTCTACTATCTCTACTGGATTCATGTCTCTATCTGATCAAAGGACAGAAAATCCAAAGGGAAACCAAGTTGTTTGGCTCTTTGCTGAGGCCCTCTGGGCAGTGGCAAGATTGGCCGTGATTGGCCCCCGAAAAACGAGATTATTTTAGCCCCATCCATGGAACCTTAACGAGGGACTGCATTTGCTACCCATTTGGTTTCTTGGTCACGCTCCCACTTGGCTCTAACATGAGACCCATGAACCCACTTTTGGGAGAGAAACAATGATTTGAATAGAGCATTCATGATCCGTTCATTTAGGAAACTGTTTGTACATCCACTTTAAACATATTTAAACCACTTATCACATCAATTTTATATATATATTATAAACACATCCAAAACTTTCAGGCCCCAACCACACGTGGGACACCTATAGGAAGATCCACAACGGCATCATTCCAGCCATTAGACAGTCACCAACACGTTCGTGTTGTGATTCAAATTTTCATAACGTTAACGCTGCAACATGTTAAAACCATACCCTCAAAATTGAACAAATGCCACTCCTGTTTTTGTTTCCCACGATTTCCAACTCACCAAAGCCGAGATCTTCGGCACCCACATTAACAATATATATTGAAACCTATGGTGACTTGGGGCTGTAGCCCCATGGCTTAGGACACCACCCATATGCTTCGCCAGGCCACCGATGAGATTTCGGCATCCGGCCATCTTGGCACAGTTGGCGGCGGCATGCGCCGTGGCGATGGTCCAGGCCAGAGACGAGCGTCGCATGGCCTGGCAGATGGTCCGAAGCGTCAAGCCAAAGCATTTAAGCCTCCAGGAAAATGTTTAGTTACATTTAGTTACAATTGTATATATAAATCGAAAATGGCCCGTTTAGTTCGATCATTTACTATTTACAAAGTTCCCCCCTTAAAAAAGGTGATCGCAATGTTAAATGAGGGTAAATGGACTGCATTATCAACAGGTTACACCAACTAAGATGATTGCGCCACCCTCCTATAGATATTGAAAGCGTAGATACAGCTGAATTTTGCGTGTTGCTCTGACATGTCTATACCCAAATGAAAAACGCATTATCGAGGGCGAGGGTTTGTTCAATGTTAGAGATCAGAAATAGTTGAAAAACGACACATGCTGTCAAGGTGACACAGTGACATCAATTCATTGCGATGGCAGGATTTGGTTGAAGATCTGAAGAGATGAGAAAATGATGCAACTGTCTCTGCTCAGGCGGCGTAGATCGCTTGGACTGCAGTAACAAATTCAAACTCAATTCCAACCAATACATGTACAGCATACATGTGTAAATATATAAAGCAAAAGGACCCATCATCCCCAATTTACCATGTCTATAGGTGGTCTAAACCATCAATCCTGGGCCGTGGTGGCTTATTGCTTTATTAACATTAGATGACGGATTGCAATTCTGTGTGAATCCCATGTTTTTTCTCAAGAAAGCCGCTAATTTGGATTGCATCAATCTAAACATTAAGAAGGTACACGAAAATTTCGTGGTTTGATCACCTAAGTTTCAGCACACAATGTTTCGTTTCTTTTGAAAACAACCTTGCATCTGAAGCTTTCAAATGTTTTTTTTCGAAAAACCCTGCATCTGAAGCTTCAAGCGTTTTTTTCGAAAAACAAATTAAAGCTTCAGATGCAAGGTTGTTGGCCGCGCATATTTTTGCTCAGGCCTAGTCCAGTTTAGGACGAAAGGCGTTGCAATGTGCCTGTGAAAATCTTTGCTCTTCGCTTGCCACGGTTTGAGTTGGAAAGTTCCATCAGAGTCCAAGTCAACTGATTAATCCAATTCACCATGGAGGCACCACGAGGAAACTTGGCCAATGCAAGCACCGCCCAACACAGCAGAAGCAGAGCTGCTTTGGTCTCCCACGACCCCCAGGTAAGGCCATGGACATTCCACACAGCCAGAGAAATCCTATAAGGCCCCCCAGGTTTGCCAACACCAGCACAGAACCAGCCACAGCCAGTTACCAGCCAGCTGTTGCCCACTCAGCTCCTCCAAGCGCAGAACATGCAAAATCAGATGCTAGCCGAGCAGCTCGAGCAACTCAAGTTTATGCAGCAACAGTACAGCGAACACCCAAGCAAAACATACACCCAGCCGCAGGACATTCTTGACGCTATCGATCCTAGCCTAGCAAGGCAGTCAGCAAAGTTAGCCAAGGACTACAAGTCTTCTTTGAACCATGCAGTCACCCAACAGGAACTTCAGCATAAACAGCAGGATATAGAAGCAGCCAGTGAAATACACAAGCAATTCCAAACTGAAGCCTTGAAAAAGTGGCAGTGGCCAGATGCTTTCAAAGCAACAGCAAAGAAGATGACACATTTGCGCCCAGTCTTGCCTGATGGGGAAGCGGATGAGTTCGAGCTTCCTGATGGAAACGCTCCGCCCTTCAACATTAAAGATGAATTCGCAGCAATGAGACGGAGACACGCAAAACAGTGCCATGATTTTGTTCTAGCCTTCCAAAGACAATGTACCCAGTTCTTAGCAGGATGAGGTACACCCAGCCCGCTAGATGATCAAAGCTGAAGACATACTCCATGCCTGGACTCGCAAGACTCGCGCAGTACTCAACCCCAGTGTCCAAGAAAGCCTCCAGCAGCAGGTCAAGCCCTTTGCAGAACTGACCTTCCCGACAGAGCAGCCAAAAGAACTGTCGCGTTGCGAGCGTGAACGGGAGCAACACACAAACAAAAAAGAGGCACTTGGTGGCGGCACTTGTAAAAGCAGAGGCCGAGTTCCGACTCATGGATGTCAACAAGCTTCCGGCCCAAAAGAGGGAGCAGCTCCAGTACCAGAACCAGCTGGAGAACCTAAGTCTTCCAGTGAAACGGCAGCAGTGACTCTCACACCTGCTGCTAAAATGCCAGCCAAGAAGGGCATGCCTAAAGGAGGTGGATCATCGAGGGGGAGGTTGGTCTAAGTTCTATCGAACCCAAAAGGTGATCACAAAGAACGAGGAGGAGGAAGAACCGAATGCGACAGGAGAACCTGGGGTAGCTGACGAAGCTCGCCATGGCAGTCCTCGAATATTCGCCACTCCAGAGCGGAAGCGAGGCCAAGCACAAGAAGCGTACAATACCACGCGGGGCGGCTTTAGCCTTTCTCATGAAATCCCACCCTGACCTTGCAAGGAAATACAGCATCTCTTTTGCCAGCCAGCCATGCCCGTGCTTCCACCGACCGCGGCAGGTCCAACTCCAAGGCCTTACGAGGCACAAGGGGCTCAAGCAACAGCATTGCACGCAGCAGCAAGGCCAGCAGCCGAGGCCGAGCTTCCAGACACACCAGCCGAAGCACCAGCCGAACAACCAATGCCCCCCAGAAAAGCTCAGCCAGCAAAGCACACAAAGGCAAAGGTAAAGGTCAAGGAAGAAGCACACCCGGATGCAAACCCCCGCCCCACGCCGCTCTTGACTATCAGTTAGTCTCGGGCGAAAACGGCGTACCAGGAAAAACAGTTTTTGGAATAAAGACTTCAGCATAGACCAATACAGATACATTCTCCACCCGCTAAGACACACAAGCCTTGTACAGCTAGAAAGGAGATTTTGTTCCCCTGTCCATGTCCTCATGCCGCCAAAATTTGACATCCCAGCCTTCGTGCGATCGTACTTGGCAAAGGGTAGTAATTAAGTTCTTCCTGACACGTTCCGCAGCACAGTTCCCAAGGTGCTGCATGAAGTGGCCTTTTTTGAGAGGAAGTTGCATTTGGCTGCTTTTCTCAGCGAAAGACACGGGGTTGCCAGAGGATCGGTGTCCCCAGAGGATACAGATGTGGCAATTTACTGCAGAATGCTTCGCAATGAGCCTCATGGTTATGTTCCGTCGACGAAAAGCAAGAACTTTGACTGCGTAGATCTTGCTGCCTGAAAATGGCCTGCGCAACACAAAGAAGATGTTGCAGTCGTAGATGCGGACAAAAACCTGGATGTATTGATCAGCCGTGTTTGGCTGAAAACAGAGCGGCTCAGACTGTTGCATGAAGCTGGCACGTGTTTCAACCATAGATGAATTTCTGCGGGAGAGTGCTGTGTTCAAATGCTGGTTTGAGAGTTTCATTTGGCAACGCTTTTATTCTGGGATGATTGTTTGCAGGCAGCTGGCAGACTTTCTCTTGCAAGACCTTGGTGCGAACAAAGCCGGCACATTCAGGATTCGAATCAAACTGCACAAGGGCCCAGCCTAGAGAGCCAAGAGTGTTATCTTTCACGCCTTTTAACCAAGAAATTAACATGTTCTGCAGAAGGCTTAGAGGACAAGCCTTTAGAGTGGCAAGAACAACGAGCGCACTTGGGACTAGTGGTTGGAAGGCCCATTCTCAACTTGGGCAAGTCTTGGCTTCCTCCAGCTGCAGCCTTTTTGGTCGAAACTTTGAAGCCAGCAGCATCTTCTCTGTCATATGTGGTACAATCTAGTGTGGAGATCTTGGACTTGCTTCCGGGACTGCGTGTGACGAAAAGTACGTGCCTTGCAACCTTTGACATGTCAAACTTGTACCCCACGTGGACAGAACCCATTTCATGACTTGTCTGGCGCGAAGAATATATGGGCTTTTTGGGCTGCGAAAGCTTCTTTTGAAAGTTTCTTGGTTAAGCTCGTGGAATTTGTTTTGGGCTTCCAGTTCATCAACCACGGTGACCAATTATGGCGCGTTGACAAAGGCCTACCTACAGGCTTAAGTCATCTTTGCCAACCATTATCGAGCAGATTTGGACGATTTTGTTCTGAATGAATGAATGCGGATGTGTTCTGACATGGCGACGCTACATTGATGACGCTTTTGCATTGCTCCATTCCCTGTCTGAAAGCGATGTCAAGTTTGTGCAGCAGCAATTGAACAAGTGGCATCCAGTGGAGGGTTTCTTTTTCAGGAAAGCAGGTTGTCTTTCTAGATTTGGACATCTCGCTGGCTCAGGGGCAGTTTGCGATCCAGACGCGTCGCAAGCCACAGAACGCATACCTATGCAATCCCAGGACTTCCTGCTATCCAAAATCCGTTTACACCGCGTTGATAGTCGGAGAGACACAGAGATTGTGTCGACATAACTGTCAAAATGCTGGGCGTTTACGTCACCACATTGGATTTTTCTTGCGCAGGTTGCAACTCAGAGGTTTCAGTGTAGCAGAGTGCTCGCAGCTCATTGAGAAAACACTGCAGAAATTGTCTTTGCGAAAGCAGAAAATGAGACAAGAGAACAAGGTCTTTTTCAGACAAACCTACGCAAGCATGTTGAACGCCAGATGGATTCAACATGCACTCCGTCGAAACTGGCATGTGGTGCAAAGAACCCTGAAAAAACCAGCCAAACCAGTTCTCTCATTTAGGGACCAAAAGAGTATCTTCTGTCGTAATTGGCTATTTTAGTATGGTACCCCACAGGGTTTGGTACGAGGTTGAGGTGTGGGCTTTTTTCGAAAAACATTTGAAAGCTTAAGATGCAAGGTTGTTGGGATGATGCTGAAAAAAACTTCACCTGATAGCCTTGGCCGAGCATATTTTTGCTCAGGCCGCCAGAAGAGTCCAGTTTAGGACGGAACGCGTTGCAATGGGCCTGTGAAAATCGTTGCTCTTCGCTTGCCACGGTTTGAGTTGGAAAGTTCCATCAGAATACATGGAAAGTGGTTGGGAAACTATTGCGGGGTTCCATGTGTAGCCCTGGCTAAACACACCTGGCAATGGACATTTCCCCAAAAATCTAGATGTCGATGTTGTTCCCTGTTAACGTGTAGATTTGAAAAACATTTGCCAGCATCGTCTGTGCTTTTGGAACAACAGGCTTGTCTGTGGAAATCACTTCTATTCGGAAGGGAGCATGCTCAAAACCACATGGGGGTCACTAGTTCCATTGCAGAGAGTGCCTAATAAATGCAATTCCCATCAAAGGATAGTCACCAAGCCATGCAACTATCAACCAACAAGGGGGGCTGGCCATGTCTTGTTGAAATGCACCTTCCCTACAGCAAGAGACTGCCTCCCGCCCATTTCTCACGCTGCACCTAGCTCACTCCATCCGCAGTGGAAGCCCCCGCAAGACCCACCGCTTCACAGCAGGCAAGGGTATTAGTCGAGGTGTGACTTTAAATGTTCTTTTCCCCAGTTGGTTGACATCCTCTGGTGGCTGTTTCTTCGCTCAATTTGCTTATCTCTGATGCAGAGTTTGATCTCGAACAGTGCAATGGATGGATTTAAATTTCATCATCGCTGAGTCGACGCTATCGATTCTTCACTGTTCTTCCTTTTTCTGGTCACTTTGTATTTTCCAAACAAGTATCTGTCGCGGCAAGTTAGCCCGGTGCAGAGGTGAATGGTCTCAAAGAAAGGCACGCAGATCATCGCGGATATAAGTACAGTATCCTGGAGGTTCATGGGTATTGATACCTCACAGAGTCTGTGTGATTACTCCGTCAACACAGTTGGAGGCAGGAATGGCCGAAAAAGATCGACATGGCCAGAGATGCATATGTATATATATATATAGACTGTTGTAGACAGACTTTCTGTGGAAATGTGATCACGACGGTTCAATAGCAGTGGCTGAGTGTGTCTGTTGTAGTAGTCCCCCATGACAGAGACAGGGCCTTATGACCATTTCATGAACATGTTCATGAATAATTTAGGAGTTGACCTATCCAGTGGAGGATGGTTCAATTGTGGAACAGAATATCAGCGGCCAGCAGTGCACAGAACATAGCTATACGGCTATACGTATACGATTCAACATGTTAAAGCAATGGGACAGGACCTAACAATGATGTATCCAACAAAATCTTCAGCACTCCCAGGTTTTCGGTCTATCCATTTTTCAAGGCAACAACAATCCACAACCTGCCCAAGTCTGCTATTGTGTTGGTGACAAACCCATTTTCTGCATCCACTGCATTTCTGGGGAAACACAATAAACCATAAAAAGGTACCGTCTTACCAACGATAACCATTTATACCTATAGTTATACCCACTGGTTAATCAATATGATTATCGAAAACCCCCATTGTGAATAAGTAATCATCCATAAATGGGCTACTTTCCATAGCTATGTTAAATTACCAAAGAGTATTTCAGAATTCAGAGCAGCTTGGATTGCAACAACCATGAGCAGTGCAATCACCGGGTGCCCATATTTTAATTGGTCCATGATGTCCATGATTCAGGATCTCAATGAACCGCACTGCCAAAAACCACCATCCAATCACATAACTTCTGGATTACCAGCAACGCTCGCAAAAAAAAATGTGAAATCCATGGTTGTTTCATGTTCTTTCCGGCATGATCTAAACATAGTGGGTTTTGCGTAAGCATGTTAGTGGATGGTATGTCCTATGCTCGGTGGTACATCAACAAATTGGCTTAATTTCCGTCAAAATATCCCCACTACCCATTGACAAACTATCATGCTTGAATTAGTTTCCCATCTCTATTTGCCTCTGTCTGTCCATTGAAAAATGGACATGATCACCCAATGGATTAGAAGGTATACCAAACGCAGAAAACATGGGACGTGTTATGACGTGTTCCAAACAGGATGATTTGCTGATGGTTCATGTTACATGGTGGTGTCAATACCATTTTATGTAACTTAATAAAAACACACATATATCTGGGTGAACCATAATATTTCACTAACAAGAAACAAGGCCATTTTGGGATGATTTCCCTTATCAACCATGATTCCATGGTTCCGTGAGGTCGCAGTGAGGTCGTTGTAATTGATTTTTTGCAATTTCAAAAAAAAAATATATATGGATGATGTGTGAATGCCACATACTTTGAGAACCCTTTCAGGAGGACCAGCTACTGTCCGTTGGTACTCCTCCCCAGCCAGCTTCAGGAATACAATGGCATACCCACACCATAATCTAGATGCATATGGAATATAATCAAATAAATTCCAATAATATTGATGTCGTATGGGATATAAACTAGCACTAAATAGGCGATATATCCAATGGAAGAGGATGTGTGAAACACTTTTATGGCCACAAATCACAAATTCAATAAAAATACGGACAAGTCCAAACCACGTCCTACAATTATTGGATTGTAATCAATTATATGTCAATTGTGATTATCCCATATATATGTATATAATCCAATAAATAATCACCTTTAACATTGGATTAACATCATCTGGGGGTTCCAATCAATGGGGACCACAATAGCTGGGGTGCTGGGTCCACCTTGGGCGTGGCCGAAGACATCTGCTTCAGGAAGTCTTTCTTCATCGATAAGGACCTCACAGGGCAACCATGGATCAAAAAAGAGAACCATGGGCACAAATTGTTCATGTGCCAATGTTGGATGATACTGTAAATTGTATACATAAGAAATGATAATAAATGTATATTCAAAGTTTACACACACGCACACATTCTGTGTAATAGACATGTTATGACCTGCGTTTTTTTGTTTTTGCAAAACAAAATAATTCCGAACCTATATATATATGTATATATATATATATATTCAATCGGTTGTGTAAACAGTTTCTGTAAGACGATGAAAATAAGAACAACATGTACTTTCTTACCTGGGGCCAAGCGAAGCAAAACACCACAGTAAAATCCTTGAATGAAAAAGCACAGGGTGAATCAACAAATTGGTTGTGGCAATGTAAAAACAATGGACACATACCAAATAAACACATGCAAAATCAACAAGATTGCATTGTAAGTATGGAAATAATGGTTTAAACACACCCGAAGCAAGAAACACCTGCAAATGATTCTGAGAACACAGGAACATATGATGTAGAGAGAGGACCACTAAAAAAATAGAAATGAAATGGGGAACATGTTTTCCTTTCAGTGATTCTATGAACAAAAAACAATTTTCCCCACGGGTTTTTAGTTATCTCTCTCT